GTCAGATCTTTCTAGAAGAGACGGCAGCCAGGGAGTCCCACAGCTGCTCAAATTGCCCTACAGGCATTCGACCACCAGGTATTTCTCAAATGATCTCTAGCTATGTCCTAAATTTCAGCCCATTAAAAAAAATCCCCTACAATAATTCTCATTTCAAATCTCTGAAACCGGGTTTAAATATAAAGGAGCGTGCTGATCAAATCTATTGGAATAGCAAAGATTGCAACTAAAAATTTTAACATCATGCCATTCTTTTTTACGCCATACACTGGTTGCAGTTAGAAGAATCCTAAAGTGCTTCGAACCCAGCAAAAAAAGTTGACTTTTGTGCAAAACTGCAAGCACCTTTTCCAAAAAGAAGCAGCAGCATCAAGGAATAAAAAACTTAAAATAGCTAAACGTATTTTCTCTATTTTGTTTTGAATTCTTGGATCAAATTAATTCGCCATATTTTCAATGACAAACTGCAGAAGAGCGCATTTTATTAGTTGAATTTTACACTGGACTTGTTAGACTGTTTGAAATAGTGGACCCAGGTATATTTATATCCACAAAGCAACACCGTGGGATTGAAATCCAAAATTCTAGCTACAAAAATAGTCATTTCGTAGAACACAAACAGAAATGATGGCTCTCTCTTCACTTTCCTCCAATGCTAATGAGAAAAGATGGTTTACTTAAAAACATTAGTTTAGCTCCAGACATTTTTAGCATGCAGAGCAGGCAAAAAACAAAACTGATTTGATAAGTTGTGTAATAAGCTTTTAGAACACCATTACCACTCGTGTAATAGACAACCTAAAATATATGTAAAATAATGAGCCAAAATACACTTCTTTTTCTGTCACATTTCAACATGTTAAAAAAAAAATAAATAAATCAAAAGACACTCTGGACAAGCAAAGAAATCACTAGATTCATCCGTAGGAACTCAAGTCCAAATTCTGCATCTGGGTGCAGGTGTCCCAGGATCAAAACCAGTTTTGAGCAGGAATCACACAATATGCATCCCAGGAAAGAATTTAGTTCCCAGCATACGGTATCACTACGTTTAGCATCAAGCCCCGATAGAATCCATATGACATACGCAGAATATACAGACCAAGGCTGTTCAGCACCTACTCCCTCCACCCCTGCTTGAAGGGCTTCCACTTCAAGCATCACGATTCCAACAAAACCCTCCCCACAAACCGCAGGGCTGCGAGACCGAGCCCAGGCTCCAAGCCAGCGTGGCTGCGTTCACCAAAGATTTGTCTGCACTTGAACATCTCGACTTGCAGCGCGCGCCCGAGCTGGACGGCTGCGCCTCTGCCAAAAGACGGGTTGGCCGCTGCCGTCTCAGAGACTCGGCACGCCAGCTGCGTCTTGAATGTCTACATCCTACCTCAGCAATAAAATTAAAATTTTAGGCCAAATAGAATCAGGTTGAAAAAAGAAACTGGTTTAGCATTTAAGGTCCTTCCTTTAGGAAAGAAAAATTAAGCGTATGGAATCACTTTTGTTTTTTTTTAATTAATTTTGAATAAATAAGTATTCTCTGATAGGGCTTTAAAAAGTCAAAGAAAACCACAAAAGCCTGCTGGTTCCTGACGGTTTTTGAAACTTACCAACCAACTAGTTAATTTCTAGTTAAGGTTGAGTTTATTTTTCTTTACTTTGACAAGGAAATGCAAACTGAACTGGAAACATTACAAAACTTCAAAGGCTGTTTGTAAACACTAGTTTCCAGTCATTAGACTAGTTTAGTTGGTATGATCCATGCAGACAAAGCCTTAATTTTGACATTCGTTTCTCATCTTTTTCAGTGAAAAACTAGACTTGTCATATCATAGGATTTCCTCAAAGCACACTTTCAGGCTGCTTATCCAGATTTCAAAATGTCAAGCTTCTCTAAGTTTTTTGCCTTTTTGGTTTCTTTTCTGAGGAAAAATGATATGAGCACAGGTGAAATGAACTGTTTAAAACATACTCCATTTCTGCAATGCCATTCAGCTACTCAGTGTTCATATATTTAACACAATGTTTCTGGTAAATAACCTGATTGACAGCCTTAGATCCCTCTTTTTTTTTTTTTCAGGTGAGCAGTTAAGATTACAGATTGTATCTCTGTTGACCACCACTTATTTTTAGTCATATTCCATAAAATGTTTATGCATACTGCAGTAGTGTTAACACTATACAAAGTCTCTCAAAGAAAAGTAACATTCATGTTTACAAAATTGAGCAGGTTTCTTATTTATATATTTATGTATACGCCCTCACATGTTCTTAATCTTTAAATACACATAAATATTTATAAATGCCAAAGTGAAAAAAAAAATCGCCTCACTTTACATACATGATTTTAGTATTAGGCATACAAGCGATTATATTGCACATCAAACTCTCTAAACTTTGAAACCCTTGCCGAGTTCCGTGTGCATTTTGTTTTCCGTCAGCGACGAGGTTCTCGCAGCGTCGACGACCGTTTCACAAACGCGGCACCAAACTTACCACCCACCTGCGGTCAGGAACGCACCTACGCCTACAGAACCCGCGGGCCGAGCACTTCTCACCTCCACGTGCACACCCAACCAGGGCGGGAACTGCAGCGTGCACCTATTCTGCACCTGCGCCTCCTCGAGATCGACGTTCCTCTGGGCTGTGAGCAATTTGGCTCTGAATTACACTGGAATCAAAGTCCAGCAACATCCACAGACATTTCGCGCGTGCTCCGAAGGCAGCAATGTTTCTGTAAAAATCTGAAGCTTCAGTGTATGCCATAGTAAGACAATAAAAAAATAAGGTATGAAACAGTTTTTCCTACAATAAGATTTACAAGTAAGCTCAGTTACCTCAGGGTCTGGTGTTTTTTTGTTGCAAGAGTACATATCCAAGCTAACAGTACGTGCTGGGAGAAGGTCAGGTAACAGGTCAAATCACGGAGATAGGGCAGTTGTGTTCAAAACCATTAACAGACATTTTGAATCATGGAATAATTTTAGGTTGGTCATCTGGTCCAACCCCCCGGTGTTCTGAGCAGCACAAGTCCAAAAGGAAAAACTGAGCTCTGCGAGCATCCAAAACACACGAAGGAACAATCTTTGTCGCGTTAAGTTTTCTAAAGCGGCAACTGTTAAGATGAACACAGCACAGTGCAACTTCCGTTGAAAAAAGGTAAAAATCTCAAAAAATGAAATCCAGGAGATTGCTTCCATAGCGAATCCCTAATGTTCATTTTGAATAAGTGTCTTTAGTAATTTTAACTTACACAAACAATCAGGATTAAAAAAATGCAAAATAACTGCAGTCTGTACTGTTCTGCTCTATGGTAAATACGGATTTTTAAAATGTTTCTTTCCAGTGACAAAAATGCACTAAAAACATTTCACATGTACCATCAGTATCCAAAGATAAACTAAGGTATCTATAAGGTTTAAAATCAGATGATAACAAAATCCAAGCCCCAATATCCTGCAATTAATTAAATGGAATTTTAAAAATCCAAGATTGGAGATGACAACTCTGAAGTTAGCTTTTTTTTTTTAACTTTCTGGGTCAGTAAAACCTTAATAATTTTCCAGAGCAAATTAAGCTATTAAAAAGGGATACAATTGTAATGTAAAAGCAATGTTTGCATAGAGAGCAATTGCCGATTTTCAAATCATAAGGTCATAAACAATGGACAGGGTTTTTTTACAAGAGAAATATGTCAGTTACGCAGTGGCTGGCTGGGCCAGTACATTTTATAAGTTCTATTTCTATATTCAAGTCAAGAGTATCTGGATCAACAGTTAACTCTAGTGCCTTAAGAAAGTGGTGTTTCACCGATTCTTGTACACCTCTATTTCTCTTACAGTTACACGGTTTAATCTCAGAGGCGTGCACACACAGGATCCTTTAGCAAAATTTCACACCTGTGCACTCCAGAGTGAACGTGCACAAAGTCACAAGTGTGTGGTATAAAGCAATTTAAGCTCTACTCTACTGCAAACACATTTTCTAATTCAACGTATTGTGCAATGTAACAGGCAACATTTCTATTATCTGTTGCTGAAAACGGTACTGACAAGCCTGTGTTGAAACAGCAAATAACCTCCTCCTCTTCTCTGACACTGCATTTACAAAATGTGTATTAAATATGTTTTCCTCCCCCTGTACAAACTGAGAGCTTTCCCTCAGGTGGGAATAGAACTAAGATCTGTTAGCTAAATACTTAATTTACAAGTGAATCAAAGCTACGGTATTTTTATTTCTTAGTCACTAGATAGCATGGACCCATTAAAAGAAATGGAAAACATTCACGCAGCTCTTTTTGAGGCTGCAAGACTCTCCATTTCATCTGTCCTTTTATCAGGGTTTGCAGTGAGAAGAACAGGTATAATTTCCTTTTCTCTTTTTGTTAAAGGACCAGTATCACAAGCTAGAAAATACAGAAACTTTTAGCACTCTCTCCTCTTCTACACAGGCACTGCTTCACAGGTAAGTCACTCATCCTTCCTTAAGATTTAATTAAGCCACCGTGTCTTCCATACGTATTTAAAAAATTGAAAACGTTAGAGACACGTAGACATAGGTGAAATACAAAGTAATGGCTATATTCTTTAAACTTCATGTTTATTTCTTCTACAAGAAGATAAACGGAATCGCTGGGAAATGATGACAGGAAGGGATCAATAAAAATAAAAATAAAATTTAAAAAGTGCTATTTAGAAGAATAACTGCCCTTTAAACGTAGTACTGTGAGCGTTCAGTGTGCCAGTTCACGCTTACACACAACACTCCAGTCATTAAATTAAGCAAACTGCCACAGTCGCACATTAAAACAAACTTCATAGAGACTATACATTCAAAACACCTACTAATGAGCAATACTGCACTAAAATGTAAACAACCACTGTGTCACAGAAGCCTGCCAGTTGGGACTGAAGATTCATGAACCCGCTTATTGGCTAGAAGTCTATTATAACTGCTCACCTGAAATAGGCTGAAACAAAGCAAAGCCTATAATAGTGTCTAAATTTTTTTTTTCATTCTTTAGACATTGATTTGCTTTCATTCTACAATATTAAGCAGGCAAGTTCATAACAACTGAGTAAAAAAACAGGCATTACTTTAGCAGAACATGCAGAACATGGAGTTTTTCTACTTGGTTCCATTAACTTACAAGCAATTCAGGCCCAACGGAAGCAAGAGTTCTTTTCCAAAGCCAAGTCTGCAATCCTGGCTGATCATCGACATCCTTCAAGGGGTCCTGTCAAGGCATCGAGGCTGCTGTCTGTATCTGAGGCCAATGTTTGCTCTGTTGACATGGATGAAATGTCATTGATAGATGATGACTGGGAAGGGCTGGTGTTGCTATTCACTGCTGCATCTGTGCTAAGTAAACCAAACATAATAAAATCTGAGGCAAGACAATGTTGCGGGTACAAACAGCCACACTTCTAGACTCTGAGCATCACTTTACCCACAGAAACCCTTAGGAAATCAATTAATAAACAGTAGAAAAGCAAGCACTAAGCTCCCTAGCGCTCAAAACCCAAGGTGAACATTTAGAGAAGATATTTTTATTTTTCTCCTTTGAGGAGGAAAGAAAAAAGAAATGTATGATGTAAATATTGACCTGAGTACCAAGAAATTTAATAGATTTAATTAATGAAAGACAATCCAGTGTTCCAATTACTGACCCAAGAGAACAGAAGTAAACATCAAGGATTCAATCATGGGCATAAACACTTTGCACCATGAACTACTTAGAACAAGGACCCCTAATGTTGTTTACATTTGCCTACAACTCGCTTCATAACAATGAAAAACTACTGTAGAGTAGTAGTTTTCTACTCTCCGGAGGCAGATCAGAATCAATAGATTTTGAACAACAAAACTTCTGCCTACCTGGATTATTAGGCAGGACTTCTTCATTCAGTAGTTCAACAGCTGAACGCTACGAACGATAGCTACAGAACTACCCAAACAAGGACTAACCTGAGGGCTGATCTTTTACCACACCATTCTTGCTCCTTTCTTCCCAATCCATTACTTCTTTGTATATTAATTCTTACAAGAGAAGGGTGAGACAAACGAGAGAAGAGACAGAAGAACGCTGTAAGATCACAGAGGATTTGCACACAATTTACATAAACGTACAATGACATGATTAAGGGTCAGTCTGGAATTATAACTTCATAAGTATTTATTTCCCCCTGCCCTTTTTTTTTTTAAAAAAAAGCCTACAATAATGATTAGAAGGGTCTATGCATTTCTTTTGTTGCAACACAGAAAGACACCAAGCATATACCAAAATCAACATATTCTATAAATTGAATAGCTCCTGATGTAAAAATAACTACCATCCCACTGCAAAACCTCGTGTACACCTACGATGCACTAATATTAACTGTAAAAAAAACCAAAAACACAAAACCCCAACAACTACAAAACCCAAAAGTAAATGGATTTGGATTAAAAAAAAAAACCCCAAAACAGATGGAATTTTTACTTTGACAACAAAATCATAGATAAATGTTTTTACTCTTTGAGAGCAATCTCCATGGACACTTTAAAGAAAGTCTAGAAATTCTGAAGTATGTTAAATGATTTAAATATTGCACGAAAGCCCTCATTTCCTAACCAAGGACAATTTAGAATACAGGCACCTGAACGATAACAAAACAATTTAGAGCTGTGTCTTTTCAGGAGCATGCTATTCTCTTGGCTATATCTATAGTATGGTTCACTCAAGACTGCTTATATTTAAAAGCTCAGAACCTTAGACATCCTGCGAGCCACACATTTATAACACAAGTTATTAAAATAAATGTCATTTGTCATGTTCGCTTGTTACCTTTCCATTCTTCAATTGCATGTTCTCTTTCCTCCAATTGTGCATCATAGATTTGAGGCGGAGGCTACAAAGAAAAGCAAGTTTGGAGTGTATCCAGCACATCAGCTTAACACAGCCAATCATAACTAAAAGACCTAAAAACTTTTCTAGCATCTTGTTACCTTCATCTTTGGGAACACCTCAAAGACAAAAGCAAAGTCTGGAGTTGTAAAACAAACATAAGTCCTGCCTGCCCGGCTGTTTAAAAGCATGAACTAAAACTCAACTCATTGACAGGCTCTATGGGCCACTCGAGAACGCTCCCTTTTCCAAAAGCCCCAAGTTACTCACACACAGACAACTCTTTCCATAAAGCAGAAGGAGCTATCAACAAACACTTTGAAAATTACATCAACTCCACTGCAGGAGCTGTTCTTCAGGTGATTCTCTCCCTAACATTGATCTGAAGGCTTTACTGTTAAGTTGTGCTAGTCAAAGAGGGAGTTCAAAGCATGTTCTTGACTAAAACTCAAGGTATTCTTTCAAGTTATTGAATCAGTATCTTAAAAGTTTATTTTAAATGCAAACTTACAGCCTCTGCTTCAGCTGGATCATACCAGACAGTAATATAAGGATGACGTAAGGCTTCATCTACAGAAATTCTCTTGTCTGGATCTACTACAAGCATTTTTGATAATAAATCTCTTGCTTGGCTGGCTAGAAAGTAAAAATGGAAAGAACATACATGTGAAAAGAAGAGCTGTAGAGTTTAACATCAGAAAATGAATACTGAGAACATAGGACATACACTGTAACAGATTTCACTCTGAAAACAGCCCCACAGATCCAAGCTCTCCTATACAGCTAAATATTTTTTAAAAACATGAGGCCCCAGCCCCTTAGTGGAAATGCCAACCAACCTCAGTTTTCAAAAATCTTACCGCTCCATGGGTTATAGGTTATTTGGCACTAACTACTGAACATAAAATACACTAAACATTTTTAATAAGCCTTTAAAAATACATCTTGGTGCAGTAATGATCGAATTTTTGTAATATCAAATTAGTTTCTCTTTTAAAAATGTTATTGCAAAAAAACCTGGCTACCCGTTGCTGCAGTGGCACTTCACTGACATTTCTCACTCATCTGAACGATCATTGTAATAATAAAATAGGCTATAACAAGTTATTTTATGTTAAAAAAATAAATATTTGACCACCTAGGGAGTTTAATAAGGTGTGGGATTTTTGTTCATTTTGTCAGTAGTCATCTAAAGCCAAACTATAGCCAAAATGAATTACATGCATACATCAACTAGAAAAAGATTATTACAAACAACCTCCAAAACAAGTAGTGCTTTCAGAGAACATTTAAGCAATGGACACTATTCAATGAATCAGAACTAGAGAATTAAATAGAATACAGAGGACAGTAAAATAGTTCTGTATTTAACATTTACTACTAAGATTTCGGGACATGTCATAAATAAAACAAGGAGAAGGTATGCAGCTTCTAATGTTGACATCTACTGCAATAAATGTAGTAGTTGGGTTTTTTTCTAATTAAGTGTATTGCACAAACTCGCCTTACTTTTTAACTTGTCGCGATCAGATTCTGATGGAAATATCCAGTCTGGGAAGAGCTCTTCAAACTTAATACCAGGATATTTTGGCCTGTTTTCTACATAATTCCTCACTGTAGGCTGTAGTTTCTTCATGAAGTCTGCTGATGGTGTTCCTAACTGTTCAATAACTTTATTCCACTGATCAATATCTGCACCATAACTTTAGGAAAATCAGCTGAAGAATTTGAAGTCTGCTCTATACAAAAACACCACTTGCAGAAATTCGAAAAGTTAATGAAAACTTGAACGAAGCACACAAACACGAACTTCATTTTAGCATCAACAGTATTCTGAGCCGCCATGCAAGAAGCTAGACTGACGTAACAATAAGTTTCACATTTTGTAATCTTACTTAAGCAGCACTGCTAGCCTGCCCTTATCTTTTGCTAATTATTATCTCTCGGCTAGTATTGAAAGCAGTCCAAAAGAAGCTTTATTTGGCAATTATCTCCATAGTGACACAACTATAAGGACAGAAAAGGAAGGCTGCTGCTGAATTTTCTGAGGTACAATATAATACCATCAACAGTGAAGACTCTTGAAGGTAGGGATAATACATCAAAAAAACCTAAAGCACAAATACATCCCATTAACCGTAAGGAATTTTGTGCCTGGCTTCTAAGAAAAGTAGGCTTTGGGTTGTAAGGTTTTGGATGGCTCGGGTTTGTCTGTCCTTGCGTTTAGTTTTGTTCACTTGGTTTTTGTTTCTACTCTTCACCTTTAGAAAAGGTTCAAAGAAGTTCTGAACGGTGAATCCAGATGCCTGTAGGTTTTTAGCAGGTTCTTTCATTTAATTGTATCAACTCAAAGTCTACTCTGTTCCTCAATTCAGAATTCAAGTATTTTATAGGAATTGCATTGCCAAGTCACAAATTGAAATTGTGCCTCATGTTTCTTCTGGACTGTTCCCTCTCCCTCTTTCAAGCCAAGGCAATTCTCCAGATGTGGTGATACTTGTTACAGAGATACCCGAGTCTGCTCTGAAGGAGCTGAGTCAGGATAACAAAGCTCACTTATCACACGGAGAAGACACTGATTAATATTCCTGATATTTAAATTTATTTAGATTTACACTGTACAGTTTTTCTGGATAGAAAGAACGTGCAATTCCAGCAGAGTCTAACCATCAATGCTGCAAATGTTCCTTGTTAAATTCATAATCTAGCACTTCAAACTCTGTTCTCACCAAGAGATTCTGTAAACAAAACAACAAATTTGTTGTGCTTGGAATGAAGATGTATTTATAAAACACTGAGGCCATTTTATTTCAGTCAGTGTGCCAAGAATACAACTAGAAATATATGTATAGTCACTGTTTTGCGCTAAACACTTTAGACTTCGGATATGAAAACTGAAAATTATATTTGCTTACTGAATACATTCCAGTGGAAAAACTATATTTAAGTTAAAACTAGTAAGTCAATATTGTTAACTGTCATGCTAAAACAAAGCACATGCAGAGAAAATTTCAACATGTATCAGGAAATTTTGCTCCTACCAAGAAAACTGATTTCTGTGAGATCTCCACCAATCTACATTCAGGAAGATGCTTTTTCTTTGAATAACAGTGCCCTGGTTAGTCAGCTAAGCAAATTAAAGCCCAGTCTATTGTGGCCTCAGAGCACTGGGGGCAGGCCAGAAAAACTTAATGATTTATCCTACTTTAGTAATAAAAACTGAGAGGGGAAGTCTCAGCTGGATCGCTTCAAAGTGCTTTACAGATACTGAAAACTGGAAAAAAAAAAAACATTTAAAATTCTTCAATGTAGGGTTGGACTTGAAATAAGCTAAGTCTCTTATCAAAAACCCAAACAAGAGAAAAATCTTCATTTACGTGTAAAGCACATAGAGCACGCTACGTGAACAACTTTGAGACAAAACTAGCCTTCCTGTTGTAGTGATCTCAGGGCCAAAAGTAACCAGAAGTTTAGCCCACATGAAGTATATCTGCCTACTTTTTGGTACTCTGGAAGAAGAGAAGTTGAAACCAGAGTCTTTATTACAATCACAATAAAACATGCTTTTACCCAGGAAAGCATGAATCCCGTCCTCACGCGTTTTGCATCACTCAGGCAATTAGTTTCCTTCACCACCTGGGCAGAAAGAGCAGTGAAACCACTCGGATGCTGCCAGACTTGCCAGTATTCCAGCTCGGGTATCTCCGTTGCCTGTTTTTTCTACCTTTCTCACTTCCAGTGTAACAGCAACTCAGGCCAGTAACTGCAAAACTGTGTTCCTCCTCCCCAGCAGCAGTCAGGAGCAGGCTGAGTAACACGGAGCATCTCCGTCTGCCCAGGGGCAATCGGAGATTGCAAAATGTGGCAAATACAAACTTGTGAGTTTAAGAGCAGCTCTACCTGAAGAGAGTCAAGAGCACATCATTAGGCAACATGCTGGAGCTGGTTCCCTGCTCTAAAACCTCCAAAACTACAAGATTTTAAAATTCAAGTTAAAACAAGCAAGCAAAAAAACCCAAAAATCTAACAGAAATGCACGCAACCAAAAAACCGGAGAACTCCATGGCTGTGCACACCGGCATCGCCCATGGTAAGCGAGGCAGTTATCACGCAGGAAGTTTCAACAACACGAGCAGTTATCAGTATTTCCCACTAAAGAGAACTGAAAGTCTTCTAAAGAAGTAAAAAAACCCCATTATGCACAGCTACGCACTTCAGTAAGATACCAGGGGAGGCGACTCCTTGAAACCTAGACTGGTGGAGCTTCAGTGACCTGCGGAGAACCCCAAGTGGTAACTTGCATATTGAACACGTATGGACAAAATTTCCTTCGTTTATTCATGAGTAAATCAAAATAGTCCATGCGAACATGCAGGTGAAAGACACATAACATACATGAAGAATTGTGTTAGGTTGGTCTGAAGGCTTCATAAGGTAAAACAATAAGCATAGAAAGGAAGAAAGGTGGAAAACAAAGACTTATTTAACAATTAATCATTGGTACTACTAAGTAATGCATGATCAGCTGCTGAACATTAGTGTCATGAAATTTAGCATTTAAATTAAAAGTCCTCTATAAGATACATAGGTATCTGTGAATATGTACCTGGTATTTTTAGTGGTGGACTCAACTTTTCGTTGCTGACAAGCAAAAACATTGTATTTTCCTCAAAATCTTGGCTGGCAAGCAGCTACAGCTTCTTACGATCTACAGTCGTAACTGGCAATTGTGGTTTAATTACATTCTCTGGATTCGAGTTATTTACCGATCAATTTTGAACACCTAGTGCTACAACACTACTACTCTGTAAGATATGAAGGATGAAATTAGTTTTCCTTCAATTTTTATAATTGGTACTTGATAACGAGTCAAATATTTTAAATTTTGTTTCTAGGGAAATATTTTGAAATACATCAAAACCTTCTGAGAACATTTACTTTATTAAATTATTGCTTTTGTTCACTTAGTACAGTGTAAAGATTTGTTTGCGATCCAGTGAGGTATTACTGGGATTCTCAATCTCTGAGGCATGAAAACACTCGAGAGTTTTGTTTGTTTTTAATATAGTAAAATCTCCTACAACTACTATTGTACAAGAAAAGAAGAATTTTGTGAAGACAAATACGAGTCAAAAATATTGGTTGGAGAAACGGAGGAATAATAATCTGAAGAGAAAAAGCCAAAAATAAAAATTTCATAGAATGAAAAAACTCCAAAATTTTTTTCTTTTTATTATAAATAATAGTAATTTTAAAAGATTCCTCATGCAGCGTGCTTGCAGTTAGGATACTGTTGCCCAGCAACTGCTAATAAGCAAGAAAAAAAGCCCTGAATGAAACTCAAAAAATTGTACAATAAAAAAAAGTTTACTGTTCAAACAAATAGTAAGCAAAATCCAGGCATGGTAAAAAGTAACTTTTTAGGGTTTTGCTTATACCACTTACCTACAAAGAACAAGAGTAAGAAAATAAACTTACTGCTTTTTTATTTAAACCTAACAGTATCCCTTTTTAAGCTATAAAAACTCTTAATATAAATTCTAGGGATTCAACCAGTACAATTTGCATTACATATAGTCTGCTAAGAAAATAAAATGGAAAGCTCAACAATTTGGTTAAATGACACTAATTTCAACTTGCACAGTATATCTATTAAGACATATTAATGAAAATATTTTTTATGCTTTTATACTTATACAGATCAAAAGAATTGTGTTTCTGTTGGAAGTGGAATGGGACTCAAGGATGACTAGGGAAGGATACGATCAGTGCCTTGGAATATCACACAACCTTTCACCAATTCTCCCATGATGCACCCAACTGACCAGATATCAACTGAAAGTAAAAATGAAATGATCAAATTATGAAATATCATGAACAAAAATGAGGAAAACAAACAAAAACATCTACCATCTAACAATAAAACACAAGAATGTGGAGAACCAAACCACTCACATGACTTTTCAATCATATCAACACCAACGGACTGTCACTAAATTTTGTTATTAACATTTTGTGAAGTACAATCAGTGTTTACATTTCTGAAACGACCATGAAGAAGGATACAATCTCTTCCCGGGAACAGGACTTTATGGAGGACCATTTCTGCCATAATGCACCCAACAGACCAGATATCCACTATCATAAGTTAGGTGCAACAAGGACAAAAGATTAAAGAGGTTTTTTTAAATACCACAATTATCTCTTTGTAAGCTCACTCTTACAGTCCTGCAGATAATTTCTATTTTGTGCCATCCAGAACAGCCTCTACCAAAGCTCCGATCCGCACCAGCACTTGCTGTACAACAAGCTGCCTTGTGCATTAATGAAAGTTGATTTTTTTTTTCATTATCAGTGGCCCAGCAAGGTTCTGCAAGTCCCTTGTTCTACACAGCAGGTATCCCCCCAGCCCCTGTGATAAAGCAAAGAGACAGACTAGCAGAGAAGTCAAGAGGAGTTAGCATATTGCTCCACAGCTAGTAAAATTCAGTAGGTAAAACCCCAGTAAAGCAAGTCAAGGACAATTTCATTGCCTGAATGATCAATATATTACAGATTTGCTGTTTTTAAGAACAAAACACCCAGCCTCTTTGAGTGCTATGCAGATTTAAGAGAATATAAAGCATGGTTTACGATAGGGATCTGAAACATATTTTAATAATCAGAGATGCAAAAGCAGACAGATTGTCAAAAGAAGATGCTCCAGAATAAAATCGCATTGATTAAAAGGGTTTATTTTTCATATATTGATGGTTTGTTGTTTTTTTTTAATACCATCCAGCATAAGTGTTTCGAGAGCTTTTTGTAGGATAAAAAAAAAAGACAGCAAGACAACAGGACAATATATGAAAAGATATAACAAGCGTAGGGGAGAGGGAGCAGTATATATTAAATAGGGGTAGGCACACAGAGCATACAACTGTCATATTCTCCAAAATTATTACCGTGTAATTTTTGTTATTTCCAATACCATGATAAACATACTTTAATAACAGATGTGGCAGGGGGAAACCAGCCTGCCCTCCCTCCCCCTTTTAAAGCTGTTATGTTCTGAGGCAGATACGCTTGAGACAAAAGATTTGAAGAGTTACTCCAGTAACTTACCATTCTCTTTATATCCCATGCCGAGGATAACCTCTGGTGCTCTGTAATACCGCGTTACTACATATGGAGTCATCATAAAGTTAGTACACGCTGTTCTTGCCAGTCCAAAATCCAGAATTTTGAGCGTACAATCTGATTTTACTACTATGTTGCTGGGTTTCAAATCCTAACAAGAAATTATTTGGTTAAGGAACCAGGAATATAGAGAATAAGAGATGACACCTTCCCTCCCTGTGCCACCAAACTAACAACTGCACATCCCTGCTCTGCTCTATCTGCTTATTTATACACAGACTAGAGACAAGGTAAATGCCACACAGCTAAGTACTTAACAAAAATTCAGGCAAAACCAGATTCAAAGTTGTCTGCAGAGTCTTATTTTACCCACTTTTGCTCTCACAATGCAGTGAGTTACATAATGTTCTGTATATATGCACAACATGTATATAAATCTGCTTCCTTTAACACATTAAGTGGACCTATTTTGGGTACGAGCAGTTGCGTGGTAAAGGAGACTGTGCTCCAAATACTGTTATTATTAGGGCACAGATCCTAAAGAAAATGTAACGGATTAGTCAAGTATCTGTAGGAAAAGGAGTATCCCAATACAGAAAGCATTAGTAAGTGTAGTAGTTAATGACAGATAAGCCAACTGTTAGATTAGCAAATGTTACAGAATTAGGATGTAGTACCAACACAGTTACGCCATGAGTGAGGATAAAAATAAAATATTTTGGGAGATATGCCTCATGGGAACAGTCATTATTGCATCCAAAGGAATACATAGTAAGGGAAATAGAGAATAATTGGGTTTTATTTATGAAGTATCAGAGGTAGCCAAATTACAGACATACAAGTACATTTAACTCTGCCTAAATGCTTGACTTGGTTTCAACCACACAAACCACGTTCTCAGGTACAGAACTTCCTTTTCTTAAAGGAGATGGGGACATGCAAATAGTTCACATGGGTTTGCACGCTTCAGGAAGGCAATAAATCTTCTCACACTACTGAATTTACTCTGCTCACAGACTCTCTGAGTAATTTCTCTTACTCCATTCCTTCCAAACTACCCCAACTCTGTTCCTCTCCCAGCCTGGTCTCTTTTCAAAACAAAATCTCTCAACCTAATCCAGAGTTTCCTCTCCAGAAAGGTCATTTTGTTTTGGTCCCGAAGCAAACCAACCTAATGCTCATCACTTTGGCTTCTCCATTCAAATGAACGTCACAGTGCGGTTCCTCTCACTGTGCAGCTTCTTGTTCAATCAGTATCAGTTCTGCTGATCACCACTACCTCAAATTTCTCAAATACCGTGAAGCCTTTAGCTCCAAATCACAGTCAGATGGAGTTCAGCTGGAGTTCCAGCCTTCCCCACTTCAGTCTCTTACACACCTCACTCCACAATTTTAGGAAAGGCCAGTACCAAGACTGTCTGGACGCAGATTTAAGCTAACTATATATAACTTCCTTACTAATAGCACAGGACTTTCATGGCTGATGTTTCCAAAGTAAGGAAGTAGATCTGTTATAATTTATACAGCTTCTCAATTATGTTTATGGATTGAACATCAAGAAAAAAAGCAAATTAAGCAAGAATTGGGTAGAGTTTTCAGCCACCAGGCAAAAAAAAATTTAAAAGGTAGGTGCATCCAGGAAGTGGTGGAAGAAAAGGAACAGAAAACAAGCAGAACTGTCAAACAGATTAGCCATGAAATTAGAAAAAAATTTAAAAAAAGACTAGCAGCACAACAATAGAAGCAGATATATATATATAAAGTCTTCACAGGACTTTGAAATTCTGATAATTTACAAACTTTACTTTTCAGAATCACAGACTGGTTGAGGTTGCCCTGGACCATGACCAGACAGTTTTTTTTAACATCTCCAAGGACAGAGATATTTAAGATGTAAATACTGCATTTTAAAGACTCATTTATTCCTAGTTTGAAAAGTTCACAGATGCTCATGTTTATCTTTTTGCCCGTTCAGCTTTAGTTAAAACCATAGCACTAACCTGGATTTAAGATCTATCTGCAATAGTTTTTCTCTCTAAACTAGAAACAGGTTTAATAATACTCTTATGAATGAAAGAAATATCAACTTTTGAAACAGCAACCCTTTGCCTCGCCCCCTGTTTTAGGAGAACATCTGTGTCCATAAAGAGCATGGTTAATTATCTAATACTACCTACTCTGTGGATGATACCAGCTGAGTGGAGGTGTTTGATACCACATAACATTTGGTAAAGCAGGTAAGACATTCTTTCATGATCCAATTCCATGTGAATAACCTGGCACAAATTTGCATCCATCAGCTCCATAACCAAATATCTAAAGCACAAGAAAGAAAGCATTGAGAAAACTTGAGTCTTATTTTCTATATCAGGTTTAAGCTTAGCATGAGATGTTTAATCAAAGTCAACTACTTTGTAACAGAAGTGTCAAAAAGCTGAGGAATAAAAAAATATCATGCATGATCACATTTTCAAAATTAAATTATTATTTATTCAAATAGTCTTGCTATTAAAAATTAAGTGTTCAATAGTCCATTACAAGGGATTAGAATTCCATTACTTTTATAAATAGTAATACAAAAGAGTAATTCTAAGTTTATGCAGCCTAAAAGACTGAGTGAAGGGGAAACAGAAATTGCAGATACTGCAACATATCAAAAAAACAATGCTTCCTTTCATTGTATTTTTTTTTAAAAATAAAATTAAGAGAAGCACAGTAAGAACTACGAAGGAACGATAAATTTTCAAGTTAAAAATATATCATCTGCTTATCCCCGAGACACCCGCACACACACACTCCCTCGTTTACTCAAGAAGCCCATTCACCATGCACAACAGCATATTCCCTGGAACCCACTAACACCCCACTAATTGAACCACCACAAATCCCTTCTAGACCGACTGACATAGCTTGCATTAAAAAAGAAAAAAAAATAAATTTATTTAGTTCTGAATTGAGGCCAAAGATCTTGTTCTGCTGACGTGACTGGTACAACAAAACAATGCGATCAGGTTATTCAGACCAAGTTGTTCTCTTGAGGTGACCCACTTAGCTAAAGGACAACGCACACAAACCAGATGCAGGCGCAATCAGTAAAGTATGGCAGATGGATGAATGAAAGGTAAATAATCTTTTTTAATTTGCTATCTCCATCTTAGGCATGTAGCAGAACAGCTTTCTTGGTCTTTCTTGAAGGAACCTAGAAATAAGGACTAATTAAAGGCTAAATTCAGCTTTTAGCTACCCTCTGTTTTCAAAGTGTGAAGTCTGTAGGATACAGGAAATGCACCTCCAGGGCTTAGGCCAGTATTTGTGAGGAAAATGGAAACAAAAATCTAGTACTTACACATCCTGAAATTCTTCTAGTGACTTCTGTGGTGTAAATACATTTAATAAACTTATTATCTATAAAATAAAAATACAACATTGGAACAAACCTCTGCTTAATTCACATAAAAATACACTGCTGCAGAACTTACTATTCAAGAAAACAAATAAATCAAATGCACAGTTACTGTATACAATTTGAATGTTACTTGGCTTCACTGAATTCACATGTGCTGAAAAACTGCCAGTTCAGAAATAGTTCAAGACTGCAGCATGTATGCCAAAGGAACTAAGACAGAACAAAACCACTTTTTTTTTTAAAGTTATATGACACCTTCTATCTCTCTGCCTAGTGACTGAAATATACCTCACTTTTTCCCCATAAATAATATTCTCTTATTTTAAATCACATGTTGTGCAAGAAACTTTAACCAAGGCTGTCTGACAACACGTACCCATAGGTGCCCCATGCCGTCCCTAAGTTTAATACTTAGATTATGATGTACTACTTCCAGAACAATTGCTAAAATTACTGTATGGCTACCTCTAACAACCACTTTGCTTTTATTCTGCAACTTCTGGAATTCACCAAAAGCTTACTTAAAAAAATCAATCCCAAAAGGCTAATTGACTCCAGGAAGACTGAAACATGAGCACACAACTTGTAGTCCCTGCTAATCACAACTTAAGTGTCCCATAAACCCAGTAATTCTTGTACTTGAACACTGAAGCATTGACATTAAGACTCATTATTTTACAAGATTCAAAGATTTTAAAGAATGTCTTCACAACAGCATTTCACTTCTGTTAATCAATAAATTGTTAGACAGGGCTGCAGCCCCGCAAACCCCACCAGTTAAACACTATATTATTAAAAAAAAAAACTTGTCTAAGCTCAGAGGATTTACGTACAGTTCAGTTGCAAGAGACAAGCCCGCTGCCAAATCAGCTCTTGTTGCAGCACGACTTAAAAGGACAAACGCACCACAGCAAGGCCAGCTCTATAAAACTGACTCCAATGCTAAACCTGTACCATAAATGCAGCAGAAACCTCCTCCTCTTGGCAGCTGATATTCCAAACAGCTCCTCCAAGAACCGGCCCATACTTTGGGGAGAACTGCATTACCCAGCGCAAATCTTTCCAGTCTTTCTCTCACTATTTTTCCCATTATTTTGGTGACTAGAAGCAAGTGAAAGAGCAAACCCCGAGCTTTTCTGACAACTTACAATAAAAAGGGAGAGAAACATAAAGTCAAACTTACATTTTTGTGATTGACGCATTTTAAAAGAACAAGCTCTCTGTAAGCCCTTTTTGCGTGGGTTTGATTCTGAAAAGGACGACTCAGCTTCTTTACAGCAACATTTATTCCAAGGACTGTATCAAACGCAGCACTAGAAGTTTTCAAAGACAAACAACTTCGTTAGAATCTGAGAGAGAGAAGGGGGCAAAGGGAGATGGAAGGGCGGAAAGAAATCAAGATCTGAGACAAAGCACATCCTCTAAACTGTTTATGCAAACCTTACATTATTTTAATTGAGAAAACAAACTTTTATAAGTCTACACATCCTTTAATAAGTACAAATAGTTTAAACAGAAGCTACTGACACTCATCAGAAGTCTTCCTGCCCTCCTTTCTCTCTTAAGATTGGATCTCCTGACTCAAGACTCATTCAAAATGGCAAGATCTAAAGATATTTTAAGTTTATTTGAAATCAAGAAGCATTTCAGTTGCCTCATCTGCATATTTGTAGTACTTTTTTTGACAGTGTTGCTGACAGACAGCCATTTAGTATTTGCAAGAGAAATTTTCTTTGCCAAAGGAGAGTCACAGCCATGTCTCCATGATCTGTTCTGCAGCATCAATACTCTCCTGCTTGTGGATAGCTAACAATTACCAACAACTGTAGTGTCTAACAAAATATTGCATTCAACATTTGGTTTGGGGAAAAAAAATAAATCCAGAGAACTATAGAAAACTCAGATTGCAGGGAGCAATGCAAAAGGTTAATCTTATCTTGTTTTTCAGTCGTGCTTGCTCCTTCCCTCTGCAGTTTTGAGGTCGAGGTGTCAACTTGCTTTAATAGCTGTAAGAATCTAAAGCTCAATTATCTGTATATGCAGAATAAGACTACAGTGGGAGTATTCTTCATTATTAACACACAGGCTAGCCAGCAAAATATATGAATTCATACCAAACTACTTGAGCTCCATTCTTTAAATAGTTCCAGTTTTAAATAAGGATTCCCACATTATTCTTTTTCCATCCAATGTAGGGTAGGAAAGATTTCTCACGCACATATATTTCTCAAGCATATTTAAGCTCTCTGCGAGCTCTGTCCCTGTCTCATATGTACAGTATCAGATTTAAAAGTATCATCACGTTACAGCTCCCCTGTGATAACAACAATACTCAAATTATGAGACGTCCACCAGCACCAAGTCAGTGCTTTCCCAGCCGGAAAATGCAATAGCAGCACAGAGCAGGGCTCACCCATGAGATACCGTTTTCTTGGAGGCACGTCCCAAATTACATGCCCCAAATTTGAATCAATGTCCCACTTGCGCTAAAGGGTTGCTAACATTTATTTTAGCTTAGTTCTGTGAAATACATCCTTATTCAACAACACAATTGCACTCGGATTGAAAGCCTTTATGTCCGTGCAAAACGAACCACAAAATGGGAGGAAGGCGACCTGCCAGACAACTGGAGAAATTATTTTCCTCACAAATATGAAAGCATTGATGTTTCAGTATTTACTTCACCTAGAAGATATCATATGTAAATTAAAATGTTTTCCATAGGTTAATGACTTTATACCTGGGAATTAGTATAAAACCAGTAACTAACAGGGACTGCAACACCAGCTGCTCAAGTCAATCACAGGTCAGTGGACAAAGGAGCAATTTTAGAAGAAGTTTCCCTTTGAGATCTGACTAATCAGTCTGAGCACATAGGAAAAACTCCACTCGAGCCTCTTATTTTGTTCATTTACATGGGAATGACTGGTATTGGAGCTCAAAGAATAAAATCCACACACAAAACCCTTCTCCCCACTTTTTTAAATATTAACAACTGGATGACAAAAAAAACCATGACATCTGTGTGTCACACTAACGGCTTGACAAATTTTCCAGCCCAACATGACAGGACGGCACTCGTCTTACATTGTGTTTTCTAGGCTTTACATTCTAGTATTTTGTATTTTTCCTTTGTGTATTATAAGGAATTTTAGGAGAAATTAAGATTGTGCACCTTCTTTAACTTGGACGTAGTTTTCAGATATTTCATATGAAGCTAAAAGTTTACACGTTTCACACTGTTGTTTCATAAATCAAATATTCTCAACAAGCCAATAAATCAGGCCACTCCTTCTCCCTCCCAAAACACTGACCTTCACACTACCCTAAACTTCATTTTTAAGCAGACACCTACTCTAAGTCATACAGTTTAGAAATGCACTACTTCTTATAAAAGGAGGAATGCTTACAACCACCCTAAATTCCTGCATACCATCTAGAAAAAGCATAACTAAGAATATTTACACCTGGAAAATGTTATCACTCTAGTAAATCTTACCCAAACACTAATAAGCAAGATCTAGTACACCTACTCACTCAACCTACTAAAGAACAAAATACAGTGTCCTCATTTTGCTTATTTTTCACGTATTAGCAGGGTAATAGGGGTATCTAAATAATTTAAAAATAAAGGCATTTTCTCACAAAAAATGTACTCTTCTACATAGACAGCTTATTATGGTTATGAAAAAGCCAAAAAGACATGGGCAAGTGCTGTATAAGGAGTTGCTCACGATACATGAGTCGTCACACTTATTCTGCAGAATTTATAGACGAAGAGAAACTGCAGTCTGGATTTAAAACATGAGCAGCCCACCATGTGTTGTAAGTCTAACATTAGAGAGTTCCCGAGTGTATCCGTTTGCTCCCCTGTGCACGGAATTCAAAAAGGCATCAATAAACATTTCTGCTGTTACCAAGTAAGTTTTGCCCAAGAAAATACGGGCCGGCACTATGTTGGGTGGAACGGTTTGCTGCAGCCTTAAAAAAAAAAACATTTGAAAGTGTTTACCTTGAGCTGGCCCCGAGGTGTGGTGCCACACAAGAGACTAAGGTTCAGGCTCAGACTAATGACTCTCACGTCCTGGGCCAGTGGAGGCTGGACACAAAGCTGAGGTGACACACCAAGGAAGAGCCGGCCAGCCCAACCCCTCACACAGCATCCCTTTCTGGTTAATCCATGGGGTGACAAGGACACTGATTTGCCTCGTCCTGCCAGTTAATGGCAAGGCACTGCATTGATGGCTCCTAGAAACGGACAGGAGTGAGCGGGAATAAAAGGGGGGGAAGAAAGGGGGCCATGGTGAAGAAAGGAGTAAAACCCAGAATCGCTCACCATCGCATTGTCATACCTTACGCTGCAATATCGTAACTACATGGGGAATGGGAGAACTAGAAACAGAAATAAAGTGGTTCGCGAGAAGGGAATTTGTTGACTATTTTAATTTATGAAGTTTTCCAAATGTTAACCTTCCCCTAAAAACAACAAAAAAGAAAAGATTTGCACATGAACTATAGCAAGCGGGTCTTTTAGAATTTATTTAGTCCATAACCCTGTAGCAAGAGACAGAAATTATCATCGGTATTTTACACCCTGGCATGTCTATCAGGAATACATTCAAATTTTGGTTTGTATTTATAGTTGATTATATTTAAAGTATTTATTACTCACCAAACAATGCCCTGTGCCCCTGATCCTATGGGCTTCAATTGCTGGTAACGTTTTAGTACAGTGAATGTTGAATCTGCAACTTGAACACTGTAAAACTGACTATCACATTTACTGTCACTCATGGTGTAGTGTCATGTAGTTTTCTCTCTCACGGACCTGGTAAAGTTTTCAAGATCTTAAAGAGAAAGAAATAAAGAAAGTACATGTTCATTCTCTCACTAATTTAAGGCAGACAACATGGAAAATATACTACTACACGTATTGTAATGAGTATGAATTTTTCAATAGATGAATTTTTCAATAGCACACCATTAAATAAGCACTCTTCCAATTTTATGTATTATCACTGCTAATGAAAAATATTTGCAGAGAGAAAGTAGTTACAGTCCTTACAGCTTTAGGTAAATGTGTCTCTATTCCAATCTCTACCACAAAAAACAGCTAAATAAACACCTGTAAAAACAAACAAAACCATTCCAAACCAAACAATTCTCTACTTCTTGAAGGCTACCCCCTAGCTTATAAATGTTACTATGTGCTAGCACTGTATTAATTTCTGTAGTACATGAAAGAAGGAAATGATAATTTATGCCTTTCAAACAGTGATAATGCAGATAAAAGCAACAGCAAAACACCACGGAGGCCACAGACATAGGACACAAGGTTTTAACGAAAGACTCGATTACAAATACCAAACAGGTTTGTAACAAAACAACTGCCCCCCAAATCCCTGTGGCTGCTGTGGTTTCTCCAACAACCCTTTTAACCCAGTTCAGTAGGAAATTTCAAGCAAGGCTTTGCCTCCTCACCTCTGCCAGGCAACCCTGCCCTGATCCAGACCCGTCACAACCTGCTCTCCCTCCCATTTTACACACACCGTAACATCCTGTGCTGCCAGTCAGTGCACTTGTATCCTACAAGAATTAGTTTTGTGCTACAGTTTGGAAGAGACTTTCATGCCGTAACTGGGAATAAGTTCTACCCATCTGTCAAGAATGAATTAGAGGGAGGTAATTACATCGGCGAGCAAGGTAATGGACTAAACCTCTTTAGCTCTGAAGTGCTACAGTAATGCGAGGGCAGACCTCCAGTTTTCCTGGGCCTCCACTCCTCTTCCAAACCTTACAAGAAAATTACCTCAGTAATTACTGAAGAGGTCTCAAACAAATTCTCCCATTTTTAATTTCACATTCACTATGACAGATAGTGTCATTACAGAGTAAATTGCAGTCAAACGTTCCTTGAAACAGGAACGGAAAGCAGATCACCTTCTCCCAGAGCAGCTCTCCTCACCTGTGCAATGCCTGGTTTAGTTAAAGAGAGAGCAGCTTCTTGCCCTCTCTTTGCTGGCCTACAGAGTATTTGTGAGCCAATGCAAAACAGAAAAGCCTCGAGAGCAACCGAGACCTAGAAGGTCATACAGCCACACAAATAGCTTTTGGTTGCTTTAAGAATTGGAATTTGGACCTCTCTCCCCAGGTGCACGTAGGAGGAAACAGCATCTTTTTTGTGGCTTAAGCCAGGAGATGATCTCCCAGAAATGTGCAAGTAAAACACGCTGAAGACTCACAAGTCCTAATAAAGTCTGTGTTTAAGCAGAACTGGTAAAGGTTAGCCTTAGGGAATTCTCAAGAATTGTCCAATTCCTCAAAATCTAACCAGCATTTTAAGAAGCAGGTCACCAACCCGGTCACCTGGCAGCAATTCAGACAGTCAGTTTACTTGATAGTTCCTCTTAGAACACAAAAAGCCGGAGAAAGGATCAGCAAAGGGAAAAAGTGAGCTACCAACTTTCTGCCTCTGCCACACCAGACCTAGGGGGAAAGAAGAGAATCACATCTCCTGTACAACATTTTTAGGGGCAGTCAGAGGTAATTCTACAATCAGCTCACACTAACGTGAGACCAAAACGCTGCCTTCGGAGACACTCTCAGCCTTTCCTTTGACACTCGAGGACAAAAACCCTCTTTCTGATCCTTCTCATCGCTCCAAAGCTACGCACTCTGAGGTACCAAAGTTTTTGATTAACAGTCGCTGAGCAGCCACGGTATCTTCAGCGAATCTTCATACACTAGAAGAAAGGTACGGCTGGAAAGTCAAGATCTTATCTCTGAAAAGGACTTGCAGAACAAAACTGAAAAAGCACGGATTTTGCATAAGCTGAGTATCAAGTTAAAGATCTGTTAGTTACACAGTTAGCTGTGTAGTTAGCTGCACCTCTTCACAGGTTAATGAAATACTTTTCTATAACAGAAATATAGTAGTAGGGGAAAAGAAAGTTATCCTGAACCAGAGGGACTCTCCACTTAAGGCACTGTTTCTGCACAACGCCAATCATTTAGAGATCAGGACAAGCCCGTTAGACAAGACCCAAAGAGAGAACCAGGCATCACAACACACCCTTTGCAATTCACCACGCTACGTCCCCAGCCTCTCCATAAGCTTAGCCTGTTTTAACTTGGGCTGCAAGCTGCCTGGATGCATCAGGACATACACTACTTCAGACATTACTGTAAAGTCAGGTGCCCAGGGACTGTAGCTGTTCATGGGACTTCAGACAATCAATCTCTTTGTGGGCAACTAAAAACAGATTTCCCATTGCTCAATGGAAAAGCTTATATGGCAAATAAGTTTCTTAATCCTGACCCGTTACTCTCCTACCTGAAATAATTTGATTCATCACTCCAGCCAACGTACTCCACACTTCTCCTATACAGGAATTTTTTTGGAAGTGGGCACTATTTCCATTTATGAAATAGAATTTTTCATTTATGGCTTCCTAGCTGCAGCTGCACCAAACAGGCCCAGCAGCAGATGCAGAAGTCACAAGATGGTCAGCAAACATATTTCTGCTTACTGATAATAGCATGTAACTGAATCACAGTGTTTCAAGCTGTTTTTCTATTTTAGAGCATGAACAAGATGCATATAGATTGAGTGGGTTTGTGGGGTTTTTTAAATATAACTTGCTTGTACAATTGGGGAAATGTAAGAATCATAAAGTTGACCGAGAACATCACATGCAGGAAACATACAGGAATGATTTTCAAGCAGCAGTTCATGAAAGATAACTAGAAAAATAACCCATACACGACACCGACCATCAGTAGGATTGAGTTGTTACACGGAATCCCGCTAAGAAATTTTTAGAAGCTGAAAGCAACAGCACTATAGCATGTATTTTGTACTTAACAGCCACTTCCCTAAAAGACATTTATTAAAATGGCAACTTATTATTAACCAGGTCTGTCCTCTGGATATCTTCAAGTCAAAAGCTTGTGAAAGAAACAGGTTGTAGCAGTTGGGAACACATTCCCAGGATTGTTTTAGTTACAGAAATGTTATTACTAACAATGAAGCATAAGAACATCAAGAAACTTAGCTTGATTTTTAAGCCTCAAGCTAAAATTCTACTGCTGACAGAATGAACAGACAACGAATGTATATATATTCATGAAAAAACATGGAAATTCTGTGCAGAAAATCTCATCCCATGCTGTTATTCACCTTCTGCAAACACACTTCAGGCTCAGGTATGCCCTTTCAGTATTATCCAATAGCACTGAGGGGTTTCTTTTTAACCTTTACAGCTATATATATCAACAGGTACAAGTCCAACTACAAAATGACAGGGACCCTATCATGACCCCTCTACTCACCACCCTGGGACAGCCTGTGACAAAAGGCAAGTGTAGGCGCAGTAAGTGGAGCAAAGCAGTAGTAGAGGTAACAGCAGAATGTGCTAGCACTTTGTTCAGCTCTTCCAAAGGCCGACCTTTCCCTTTAGGCAGCCCAAGTTCTGGCTGAGCAAAGCCTCGAGCAGCACCTGTCCCGGCAGGGCCGAGCCGCTCAGCACACGGGGCGGACACGCCGGAGGCTCCTCAGCGCCCGGCCAGGGCGAGTCGGTGGAAAAGAGGGAAAAAGTTTAAACGGGTATCTGCCGTAACGCTGTTGTAAAATTACGTAACGGCCGCCGAACCGAGCAGGAGCACTTTGTACATCCCCTCTAAAACTTCGGCGGAGACGTGTCCAGGTTCGCTCCCGCTGCAG